TTTTGACTTTTCAGCCTACCCTCGGGTGAACCCGGACCACAAGAAGTTCGTCACCCGGTCGCTTCTCAGTCAGGTTTAACCAACTGTGCTAGCGAGCCGGGCAAGAAAGACGCTTAAGATGCCTTATTTCTGGGTGCAGGTGCCATTAGTAAGTGTTGTCCTTTCAGCATATGGAACCCAATGCAAAGCGGCTCACTAAAACAACTGACTAAACAACTACTGACAGGAATAAACATGTAAAGTTTGAGTGCATCTGCCTGGGAGGTGAGGAATCAGTCATATGTTTACAGGTCATCCGGATCTGTAGAACGAATGTGCATGCAGAACTCAGGTTCTGGAAAGAGACTAAAGTCCGAAAGTGGACAAATAATCAGAACTTTCTGCCGGAAGTTTGCAGCTGGTGAAAACAAAGAATAAGAAGCAGAGCCATGTAAAATATTGATTAGAATAGATGTGCCTGCAGCCCCTACGGTCATGGACCTCTTCAAATGCCCAGAGCCCCAATTAAAAGAGACTGCACTGTACCATAAGTGCCAGGACCTGGGAGCTGAGACAAGTCCCCCCCCCCCCCCCAATAATCCTTCAGCTAAGCCCCCGAGAGATTTCTCAGTGGTATTGAGCCTGCACTGTTCAAGCCCTGTCACACTATAAGGACCCAAGCATAAAGGCTAATCATCATTATCAGTTCTCGTTATGCCTAGTGGCACATAAGGCTTCAGATAGGACTTTCCATGCTTTTCTGTCCTGTGCAATCTTCAGTGCAGTTTTCCATGTCAAAGATGCCGCACTCAGGTCACTTTCCATCGTTCGTCTCCATGTTGTTTTTGGGCGCCCCTGTTTTCTCTTTCCTTCTGGTGTCTATGTGAGAGCTGTTTTGGCGGGTATGTCAGGATTCATTCACATAACATCTCCAAGCCATTTCCATCTTCTCTTGGTTATCATACTGTCTAAAGTTTCTTGGTTTGTGACTTGAAGTGTTTGAGATTGTATCTGGCCAGAAAATTTTGATAATTCTACGTAGACATGTGTGGTGAAAGGTGGACAGCTTATAAAGGCCTATACTGGCAGTTAAATAACTTTACTTAACATGTGGGTTTCAGGGCCCTATTAAAGGTGGAGAGAGAGTGTGTGTGTGTGCATGCGTGTGTGTGTGTGTGCTTATCTGTAAACCACAACACAACATGCCAACCAACCCTGTAAAGGCAAATGCAAAAGAAGAAGTAGTAGTAATAGTAGTAGTTGTAGTTAGTAGTAGTAGTAGTGCTGATATGAGGAGGAAGAGGAGTTGGCTGTAGTAGGGGGTTGGTAGGGTAGTAGTAACAGGAGTTAGAGGTAGTGGTAGTGTCGATGGTGATGGCAGTGGTGGTGGTGATGGCAGTAATAGCAGTAGTTGTACTGACCACAGCAATAAATATAGCAGTAGTCATAGCAGCAACAGCAGGAAACGCAGCAGCATTATCAGCCACAGCAACAGCAGTAGTAGTAGTAGTAGTAGTAGTAGGAGGAGGAGGAGGAGCGGCAGCAGTAGTAGTAGTTAGTAGTATTAAATGTAATAGTAGTAGTAGGAGGAGAAAGAGCAGCAGCAGTAGTAGTAGTAGTGTAGTAGTAGTAATCGTAATAGTAGTAGTAGGAGGAGGAAGAGCAGCAGCAGTATTACTAGTGGTAGTAGTAGTATTAGCAGCAGCAGTAGTAGTAGTAGTAGTAGGAGGAGGAGGAGGAGCAGCAGCAGCAGTATTACTAGTGGTAGTAGTAGTATTAGCAGCAGTAGTAGTAGTAGTAGTAGTAGTAGTAGTAGTAGTAGTAGTAGTAGTAGTAGTAGGAGGAGGAAGAGTAGCAGCAGTATTACTAGTGGTAGTAGTAGTATTAGCAGCAGCAGTAGTAGTAGTAGTAGTAGTAGTAGGAGGAGGAAGAGCAGCAGCAGTATTACTAGTGGTAGTAGTAGTATTAGCAGCAGTAGTAGTAGTAGTAGTAGTAGTAGTAGTAGTAGTAGTAGTAGTAGGAGGAGAGGAGCAGCAGCAGCAGTATTGGTAGTATTAGTAGCAGCAGCAGCAGCAGTAGTAGTAGTAGTAGTAGTAAGTGGTGAAGAAGAAGAAGGATGACGACTTTGACATATTATTCTGTTGACTACCCTAGCTCCTGGCCTGGCAGCTTGTGGGCTGGTGTTCCATCGTGCTGTGGACAGCCGTCTTGTGTACCCTAATGTTTGGCATCATGCGATTGGCTGGGATCTTCAGAGTCAACCTTGACATGGAGAAGAAAGGTCATTGCTGAATAAAGTTACTGTTAACTTTCTTCTTCTTCTTCTTCTTCTTCTTCTTCTTCTTCTTCTTCTTCTTCTTCTTCTTCTTCTTCTTCTTCTTCTTCTTCTTCTTCTTCTTCTTCTTCTTCTTCTTCTTCTTCTTCTTCTTCTTCTTTTTCATCTCCTCCTCCATCCTTTTCTACTACTACTACTACTACTACTACTACTACTACTACTACTACTACTACTACTACTACTACTACTACTACTACTACTACTACTACTACTACTACTACTACTACTACTACTACTACTACTACTACTACTACAACTACTACTACTACTACTACTACTACTACAACTACTACTTCTCTACTGCTGCTACTACTCTACTGCTGCTGCTACTATTACTATTGCTGATGCTGCTACTACTACCGTTGTTACTGTCACTATTACTATTACTGCTACTACTAGTACCACTGCTACTGCTACTATGGCTAAAGCGACTACATCTACTGCTACTATGGCTATATCCACTACATCTGCTGCTACTATTTTTTCTTCTTTTATTACTGCTATTAACCCTGTTCTACCTCTTCTTATCTCCAGTTATTTTGGTTAGAATGTGCCAGTATTTGTTCACCCATAGGAGTAAATTTTCGTGGATGCCAAATGGGTTAACATTCACTAGTGTATGTTTGGCCAGAACTGTACACAAAAAGCTCTTATAGATGTACAAATACCTTGGCTCCTGGATCGACCCAGCCAAAAATTGGTACCAGATAAAGTCATAGGAAGTAAGGGGTGCCCGTGGGATGTGGATCACAGATCCTGTAGAAGCTGGGTTGTCTGTGTAAAAAAAAAAATATGGGCCTGTCATCATACACACGATGAGACAGAAGTGTAAACAAAAGGTCCTTTACTTGTAACATAGATCTGTAGCCTGTATTGCTACTCTCTCTCTCTCTCTCTCTCTCTCTCTCTCTCTCTCTCTCTCTCTCTCTCTCTCTATCTGTCTCTCTCTCTCTCTCTATTCTCTCTCTCTCTCTCTCTCTCTCTCTCTCTCTCACTACGCACTGACAAACCTATTGTTAACTTGTATGATACTGGTATGAGTGAGTGAGCAAATGTGTGTGAGTGAGTGAGTCAATGAGCTGGTGAGTGACTGAGTTAGTGAGTGTGTGTGTGAGTGAGTGAGTAGGTGAATGAGTGAGTGAGTGAGTATGTAAGTGAGTGAGCTAGCAAGCAAATGAGTGAGTGTGTGAGTAAAAAAGAGAAAAAGGGGTGTGGCATAAGAATTATTTGTATGTTAATGCTATATAAACTATAAAATAATATATGACCCGATGGTAAACCATAAAATAATATATGACCCGATGGTAAACCATAATTGACAGGACTGGACATCCCCAAGCATGGAGAGCCAGCTTACCCGTTGGAGTCCTACGGTCATGGATATATTGAACAGATCCTCATTGTTGCTGAAAACGGGCAGTTGTTATCTTCAGATTTAGGTAAGATATCTTCATGCTTATATAAGACATCTTCAAGTTTACATAAGACATTTTCAAGTTTAGATAAGACATCTTCAAGTTTACATAAGAAATTTTCAAGTTTAGATAAGACATCTTCAAGTTTACATAAGACATTTTCAAGTTTAGATAAGACATCTTCAAGTTTAGATAGCACATCTTTGAATTTAGATAGGACGTCTTTGACTTGAGATAGGATATCTTAAACTTTAGATAGGATATCTTTGAATTTAGATAGGATATCTTTGACTTTAGATAAGACATATTCTAGTTTATATAAGACATCTTCCAATTTAGATAGGACATCTTCATGTTTACATATGACATCTTTGACTTTAGATAGGACATCTTCGAGTTTAGATAGGACATCTTTGAGTTTAGATAGGACATCTTCGAGTTTAGATAGGACATCTTCCAGTTTAGATAAGACATCTTCAAGTTTAGATAGGACATCTTTGACTTTAAATAGGACATCTTTAACTTTAGATAAGAGATATTCAAGTTTAAATAAGACATCTTCCAATTTAGATAAGACATCTTCAAGTTAAGATAGGATGTCTTCGAGTTTAGATAAGACATCTTTGAGTTTAAATCAGACTTCTATGAGTTTAGATAAAACTTCTCTGAGTCTAGATAAAACATCTTAAATTTAGTTAAGAAGTCTTCAAATTTAGATAAGACATCTTCAACCAGTAGTGAACTGACTGTGTGAACAGTGTTAACTAAACTCACAGAAAACTCTAAAGATCTCCGAAATGGCTTAGTCAGTTTTTGTGATCTTTTTTTTTAACAAGCACTTGAAAAACTATCTGTAGGTTTGCTAGACAAGTAACTGCAATAATAAACTAATAAACTGCAATGATTTAATAACTAGTGCCTGCGCAGAGTAGAGGGAATTAAATGGTGAAAAAAATATGCAGTTAGTCTTTGTACCGGAGTCACTAGAAATGTGGACCCAAATCATTTGTGAAAGACATCAAAGGAAGAAGATAGGACGAGAAAAAGAAAAGAAGAGGAGAAGAAGAAGAAGAAGAAGAAGAAGAAGAAGAAGAAGAGAAGAAGAAGAAGAAGAAGAAGAAGAAGAAGAAAACAACAACAACAACAAAAACAAGAAAAGAAAGTTGAAATCACCAAAACTGCACTTCTGAGATCCATTGTAGTCAAGATGTATACAACACATGTTGAGCATAATCTTAACATCATAATTCCTCTTCTTTCTGCCTTCAGGTTACCCCAATGGTCACACCCCAGATGGAAAAGATGTTGGCCCTTACGAAACTCCAGAACTAAAAGTCATGAACCACAATCACGCAGGCTCTAAATCGGACCTCCATGACAACAACCCCTATGCTGTCCCACCAAGATCCATGGGACATATCAACTCTGCTTTCTACGATGGGGTTGAGAGAACAGCGTTGTAACAGTTTGCATGCACAGAAGCTCTACTGCCTTGGAGGGGCTAGGTACCCTCATCCCTCCACCCCCCACACATAAAACAACTTTATAGTGGGTCTGAGGTCCAGCTAACTCTCAATGTTTTCTTTGTGTAGGCACTCCTATCTTGCTCATCAGTTGTGTGCATGTAGTGGTGGTTTCCATGTTTGTATGTTTTTGTTTGTTATTAACCCATTCTTCATCTTGTTTTTCTTCATCGATCGTCCTAGTGACCCAGTAGTATTATGTCTGTTTACAGCATAGCTGCGATATTTGCACTTTTTAGCCGACATATCTGACTTCATTAGGCATGTGTTTGTCAGGCTAGCCTTCCTGGTCAGTTTCGTAGGACATAAGGTAAAGGTCCCTTTTCTGCTTCTTTGGGCATATTGGGTATATAGGGCTAGACTTATCTTTTTTTTTAGACCAACGGGCACTTGGTGGCTGATGTGGTCAGCATCATGCCGGCCACCTTTACTTCCTAGGACTACACCTCGTACCCACTCAACGCTGGGTCGACCTGGGAGTCAATGTCATTTTTGGGTGTCCGGCTCCATCAGGACACAAACCCATGACCTACCGATCCGCAGGCAGGCTTCAAGCCACCAACATCACGGCGACTCCCTTCGTGGGACATGATGTAGCCTTATTTGTGTGGTGCCCTATTTGTCCTTTTATTTACAGATGTTGCCCCTGGAGAAAACATCCACTTTCATCCCCCAGTAAGTCACCACAAGTTTTTTGGGTAAAATACACTTTGCTTAATTGGCTTCTCCCCGCTGAAGTGATTGATCCATTTGCCTCATGCTCTTCTTCTTCTTCTTCTTTGATCACCAGCTGTAAGCTCCAGTGGAAAGTCCTGGCTGTCCATCCATTTGGATTTTAGTTTTGTGCCAAGGCCTAAGTTTTGTGTGTATGTCCCTTTTACTGGTTTATTTGTGTGTAGCTGGTTGTTCCTTGCTTTTATAAACTTTTAGAACAGACGTCACTCAATGTATGAAAATACTTGCCTAAATTGTCACTTTTATCATTTTTAACTGTAAATAATAACTTTAAATCAAACATATCATGTTTTTGAATTGTCTTTCATAAGCTATTTTGTACATAGATCTGCTTTTTATTTCCTGCCATATACCTAATTATGTTATTGTTTGTAACTTGAACTTGTTGTTGTTGAACTTCTTCTCCTTCCTCTTCTTCTTACTCTTCTTCTTCTTCTTGTACTTCTTCTTCTTCTTCCTCTTCTTCTTCTTCTTCTTTTTCTTTTTCTTTCTCTTCTCATCCTCCTACTCCTTCTTTTTCATCTTCTCCTTCCTCTTCTTCTTCTTATTATTATTATCATTCTTCTTCCGCTTCTTCTTCTTCCTTTTCTTCTTCTCCTTCTCCACCTCCTCCTCCTCCATCTTTTTTTTCTTCATAATTTCAAACCCGTGAGGCTCATTGCTGCAGATATCACCTTGCCTCTATTCATCTCTGTTATTTGTATTCTCTTTCACCTGGTGCTCCAAGTGTTTGTAGCTCTTCATATATCATTACCTCTCCGCCATCGTATTGGTCTGCCTCTTGATCTACTGCCATTCAGCTCTTTTGTGCTCATAGATTGTATCTCCTTCTTATCTGCCACTCTCTGTCTATGCCCCAACCATTGCAGTCAATGAGCTCTCTTACTCTGATACCTGCAAGTATTATTTTTCAAGTTTGCTAACTCTAACCTGTAGCAGTCTCTATTCTACCTGCAAGACTGCCGGGTTGTATTTCTATTTTGCTAATTCCTATAGCTTGACCTGTCCGAAATTAGAGACCCTATTGTGTATATATCTTAATCATTAACACTTTAATTGAAGTTTATGTTGTTCTCTCCATGAGGCCAAACAAATAAGTTTTATGTACATACAATTTTACCACCTACCACTCCTGTACATTTGCAGCTGATATTCACATTTATTCTTCTTTACAGCTCGTGTTCTCAGTTTATATCATTTATATGATCTCATTACTACTTAACACATGATCGAATATATGTCTTTTTCTTTTTCTGTATACACTCTTAAAAATAGTGGTTGGCATGTTGTGTTGTGGTTTACAGCTAGACTGCAGTATATGTACCTTTCAGCCCAGCACATCTCATTTTGGAAAAAACCCTTAATTAATCACTTTATAAGAGGCTAAGAAAATGATGGTTTAGAACAGTGGTTTTCAATCTTCTTTCAGAAGAGCTCCTCTTGTGTATATGGCAATGCCTCCACCCAGCCCCCCATCCCCCCCCCCCCCCCCCATCCCCCCCCCACTCCTTTTTTCAACCCCTACTTTTAAAAAAAATGATTGAAAAGAGGACGCACACACACACACAAACCAAGCAATATTAACAAGAACTTGAAGAAAAACATCCACATAAATTAAGGTGTCAAATAACATAAATAAGAAACAATCACCAACAACTGTTATTTTAGTGTCCAAATATCAATGTCATGGTTGACTCTGTTTGGAAGATATCTGCTATTCTTGGTCCTATATTAGACAAGGCACATCGGAGTTCACTCTCTAAATCAAGCTAGCAGTGCTGATTTGTTTTTATGGCTTAAATTGTAATTTATATTGAAAATTAAAAACAGTTTCAGTATAAAAGATGTTCCATGTACAAACGCACTCAGTTCCAAAATTGCTTGATGTCCACCTAAAACCTTGCGCCCCACCCCACCCCAATTTGAGAACCATTGTTTTAGTATAAGAAGTGCTGCATTGAATTGTACTGCAGTTTGTCCCGTCCAGGATCCCAGTCCTTAGGATTACCTCCCTAGGGATAGAATCCTTCAGGTACATATCCCGCAACGCCCTGCTCAACCATAAGGTTACATATGGTAGCCCAAACGGCTGAGGTCCGGACCAGACAGGGATTGAGTGTTTAACTGTCTGCTGATTTACATAATGTTCTGACACGCTTCTTATAATGTATGAAGAAACAGAGGATGAGACATACTTTTATTTGTTTCATAATTCTATTCTTCGCTTGTCGTTCATGTTATGTACATTACATTGATCTTTTCATTGTTTCAAATAAATAAAAGTAATGTAAATTTGACTATACACCATACTGTTGTACTTATTCAATAAACAGTACTTTGTTAACACTGTCATTTCATTTGTCTTTGTCTTTGCTATACACACAGAACCGAAGCTACCATGAGATTTTGATTACCACTGTCCGGCTCTCATGCGGGAGTAAGGTGATTGCATTTTTCTTCTTAACCTACACAGTTCGTAGCGACAGCACTAGCCAGGTGGCCCTAACTCTGCAGGCTCACGGCCCCCTGTCTACACCACCCTAACAAGTGGTACATGCAGACAGTAGTGAAACTGACTCTTTCCTGGTTAGTGCTCTTTACTCAGCTGCCAGTTTGGTTAGTGTTCTTTCCGGAGCTGCAAGTTTGGTTCCAGATGGGCACTCAGTAAAGGAAGTTGTTTCAGATGTGCCAACACTCATGGTCCCACGCCAGAGTTGAAGCTTCCCTGTGTATATTCCAGGGCCTCATTGTGGCGAAAACAAGGACAGGCCCACTGCCCCCCTAACATGTCCTATGAGTCGACTAATTGGAAGCTGCCTTCGAAGTTAGAGTGCATCTGCCTGAGCGGCAAGGAACAGCCACGATCGCACAAATAAACCAGTGAAATGGTGAAACTCAGGCCGTGGCTCAAAGCCAGAGTTCAAATGGACACACAGCCAACACTTTCTGTAGAAACCTATAGGCGAAATAAGAAAAATTGCATCTCACTGTTGGTGCAGATGGTCAGTCACGAAAGCCGGTATTGCACGCTCAAAAGTACGCCACCATTTTTAACGTAATCTGTCACCCGCCATTTTAGTGCGGTCAACAACACGCCGCAGGCACAACTAAAAAAAAAAAAAAACATTCCACGTGATGAAATCCATAGCTCACTGTGTGGCATCCAGCACTTAGCAGCGGAAATATGACGGAAATTTTCCTGATCAGTGAAGTGACTGTGGTGAGTGCCAGCAGTGCTCTTTCCTAATCAGTCGCTGTGGTTTGTGTTCCTTCCAGGTCAGTCTTTGTAGTTCACTTGTGCGAAATACCCATTATTTATTTATCCATTTATTCATTTGCTTTATTTTGTGCTCTTTCTTTTAAATTTGTTTCAGAAGTTGTATGTCTGGGCCTATTAACCCAGATCCCAGAAACCACTCAGCGATAGCAGTCGTCTTCAGGTTTACGTATCCAGAAACCATGAGTTGTAAACCCTTTGGCTCGGTACTATGGATATCGCAACCCTTCGGCCTTGATTCCATTATAGGTACCATTAATCTGGGAGAAATGTGGCTTTTCTGCCTACCCCCGGGAGTGGACCGGGACCACAAGGAGTTCGTCACCCGGCCGCCGCGAAAGTCAGGTTTAACCAACTTCGCTAGAGAGCCGGGCGACGTGATGTCTCAAACGGCCTAATAAATATAGGTCAACAAGCAGTCGATTCCTCCGTCTGTGACAATGTACTCGGTTAGTTCCGTCAAACTGTCAAAAACTAACAGCCTACGAATATTTGCTTTTTTGAGTTATCTGACTTTAACGAATTTAATATAGATTATTGTCCGTCTCGAGGGCTTAAGGTTCCGGGTTCAACTACCGGTAAGGGATGGGATGTTTTCACGTGGACTTGTAGTAATTACCCCTGGTCTCTGGGTCATGAGATCGGACGCCCGTGTGCATTGTTGTGGACGTAAAAAATCATTTGGCAGTTGGAAATCCAAAAAAAGTAGCCTTACGGCACTGCCCAGCCAAAATTTGGAGTTAAAAATCTACCCAAAGTATTTCAGGATCCTCGCCGGTGCTTCAGAGCTTGTGCACTGTGCTGAGCTTCTTCGGACTAAGACTTGAGTTAGAAGAAGAATGAAGCACTTATGGGTTACACCCGTGTGCCATGATGTTGATCCGTTGTTCAAAACCTCAAACCATAGAGACCCTGACACTTGACAGGC